CACAGAGAGAAATAACTTCTAGTTGACTTTTGTGTCAAGGGGAAAGACAGAAAAAGTAATCACCAACTTTGTTGTAAAAAATTTATGTCAAGATCAGTCAAGATGTGTAGCCAAGACCAAACGAGAGAAGAGACTTTGAAAAAATATCCCAGAAAACTCGGAAACCCTTATACATTTTAGAAAATTATACCGGCTGAAAAAAGATCTGGATACTAATTTAGAATTAATATAATTTTAAATTGATACTATAACAACAAACTGGAGCAAAATGTATACTTTTTTTATTAGTAATTCAATGTTAATTTTTATAAAATTTACTTAAAATAATTTTTAGAGGCACAGGAAATTATCACTTAATTGAAACTTTTTTTTCCGATCGAACTGTTCAAGGCTTTTGCATCTTCTTCACCGCAAATTTTTCCTCTTGATACTTGACCACCTTTTCCAGCGCGATATTAGTTTTTTTCTCATATTCTAGTCTAAATCTCGCACCTTCTCCAATTAAAATAGTGAACGTGGGGTATATCAGTGACTATTCTAAGGGCCAAAGGTCATCAATATTTCAAAATTGAAACCTTCCCTTTCCTGATAGAAAAGCGTAGCTAAACTTAAATATTTACGCTTCAGTTCAGCTGCGTTTAGAAATTACGAAAGTTTATATAAATATCGTATGAATTGTCCTTTTCTGTGCTTCCTTCATGCATAGAAAAAATATTGCGAAAAACGAGACCATTATGAATATTAAATTCTATGAAGCTGCTTGTTTTCTGCGTTCGACCAAATTTGCACGAATTTCGGCAAACTCGAGGAGAGGTATGTTTGTTATCAGCTCTTTGATCCTACCTAATTTCGTTTGCATTTCCCTTCGTCTGCCAAGATGCAAAAGGTTCTCTCGGTCTTTGGCGTAGCAAATCAAATTTGCGAAAGGAACAAACTTTTAAAGCAAAAAATATGCATGAATATTTGCATTCTCAAGCGTGACACTGCAAATTTCAATATTTCTCTTTGTTGAAGTGAATTTTCAGATGCTTATAAATATTATCCGTCGGCAAACCCTCTTAAGGATCTTTCAATAGGAATATTGTTGGAGAAGTTTTAAATTGTGAAGAGTTGTGGAGAATTAACTGGACGCAAAAGTTGCATTGATGACGATCGCTTTTTATCACTCAAAACTCAACCTACATTTGTCCTTCCTATCATAACCAAATCTTAATATATCCTTTCAAAATATTTGTTTGAAGTTTGAAGCCCAGATACTTACAGGTGATATTTTTTTTAAATTCTTAAAGTTTATTTTTTATTTTTCTTTGCTAAATTATTTCTTCAGTTGATCTTTCAAATAAAAATTGATAGTTTTGTAATTAATAACCCCCGGTCAATTTTGACACTTTCGAAACCGCCCATTCGCTTTCTGAATAAATTATCGTCTATTAGAACTACTTGCGCGAAATCTCTTTCAAGTTGGCTGAGCTTAAGTATGATTGCGGTTTAACTACATTTTTTGTCCTGAGAGTAGCGAGAAGACTTCTCATCATCATCAACAGTCCAAGCTCACACCCGACGTACTTATTATATCATTTTTTTGTGCCGATGACTTGCCACTTTTTCGTCTGCTTTGTGTTGTTGTAACAAAGAAAGCTGCAAAAATAAGCGCGCGTCTCCATTTACCGCCAAAAATGTCGCTTTTCCATCCTCTAATTAAGCTCTTAAGTACACCTGTCACGCATTTAATGACCCTGTGTTTTTAAATTTTGAAAATATCATTAAAGAAATTAAATTTGCTGAAGAAACGAATTGATGTTTTTCAGACGAGCTCATGCTGGTTTGAAATTATAATTTCGTGCATTATTTAGTACACTGCTGATGATCAATCACGCGACTTCAAGGAGTAAACAGTAGCGCTCATCTTCTGGTATACGGTGGGAAACTCTTTCTCTCTCGCCTTCGTATAATGGGCCAACCATTTGAGTCATTGCATTGTCTGCCACTTCTTATTATCCAAGTAATGCAGACCCCCTTAGTGGGTATCGAATTGTTTCTGTCTTCGGAGAAAAATCTCGCACTGCCTCCTTTGTCAGCGCACTAATGGCGAATTTATCTTTGTCAAAAACAACAGCTTTTTACGTTCAATAATATCAAAAATTGACAGAGCAACTTCATAGGATTGCAATGATATTTATATATAAGTTGAAAATTTTCACTATAATAAAGGAAATAATTTTAAAATTTTAAACTTTTTCATATTTTTTATTATAAAAAAAAATAATTTACTATACTTTATTCGATTAAATTGTTGGATAGCTCAAGTTCTTTTCTGAAAGTACATTGAATAATTCAACATAAATGAGGCAGAATATTTGATATTCCAAATTTGTTGCAAATTGCATGGCTTTACAAAATCAAAACCTATTAAAAAAAAATACCTAATACCTTCAACTTAAAAAATTGAATCTAAAAGAAATACCATGCCACTTTTTCACTATATTGGAGTAGTATGGCAATGATGACAGCCTTGACTTTTTCAAGAGACGCGATGGCAATTATTTTTAGGCTCGTCTCTTTTTCGTGGAAGAGCAGAGAAAAATTGTCATCGTGCTGCAGACGCTTTTAACAATCTTGCCTTTTATGCTGCTCAAAAGTCATTCTGACAAGCTAGAAAATACAGTGGATTATTCATTAATAATAATAACACACACAAACGGCCAAAACTTCTGCTTTCAGAATAACCTGCCTAGAAATTAAAAAGCTGATGAAAGGTGCAGTTTCGGCATAAATGGATATAAATGACCGTGTCGTGCGCAAAAATATACAATTCACTTGCGCTGTTTCATAAAAAAAAATTTATAGCCGTTGATGAATAAAAATTGAGGGATTAACTTCTCTGAAAGGATTACCCCATTAAAAGCTTTGGATTGTCACCAATAAATGGTGTGAGCGCTTTTGTTTTTAGTTGTTCAGATTTTGCTTCATAGTTTAGTTTTGGTGCAAAAGTTCGAGTTTGGCTGATGGAACAGAATTCTTAGAATTCATACATATTATTGAAACCAACCCATGTACAATACCAAACAGTCCGCAGAATTCAGCTCACGGAAAATATATTTGCTGTTTGAAAAAGCACTTTGTGTCGACATTTGGGAAGAAATCGATGTTTCCGCAGATAAAATATGGTCCTTTGAAGGGAAACGGACTTAAAATATGTGTAATAACTAAAGATAAACTCGCAAAATTGAAGTTTTTCTAAAAATATAATATTTTTGTAAACTTTTTTCATATAGCTCTATATGAAATTGTAAGTTTCTTTAATTTTTCTAACCTTTTTGTGTTGATAGAATTCAAGTGTAAAATTGAGACATTCTTCTAGGCGGTTTAAGCAGACATTCCCTCTCATTTGAGAGCCCATTTCCACCTAAGCCCATTTCCGTGTAGAACAAAGCGCATTAAAATTTATCGCGCTCTTAAACACAAACACTAAGTTTGCGAAACGAGAGAAATTCCAACGTTTTGCTGCTGCTGGCGAGGACTCGCTTGGATAGACCAGAGCGCTCCTTGGACTTGATGCATGCAAATCTTTTTAATAATGCAGAGAGGCTACTTTTCTAGGAAGAACCGAACTGCGGCCAAACTTTGCCATCCCGTCTTAACTTGAACAAAGAAAAAAAGACGAAAAATAAAAGGAAAAAAACGAAAGGAAGGCGGCATTATTTATTTGCCGCGTTGCCTCGAGCAGAATAAATCCACAATCCCTCTGCTAAAAGTATATGTATTTTTGTTTGCACACCAGAAATCACGTGGCCAAAGTTTTCCCATCCACTCCGAAAGGAGCTACATCAAATATTGGCTGTCGATTCTTGTTCACAGCAGTTTTCTTTCTTACTTTCTGACTTTCAAAATTTTGATTTGGCATTGATGAAAAGTTCTGGTGTCTCATTTGGAAACAAAATGCATTATTTAACCTTGGAATCATAGCTATGCAACCTGCAACACTTTAAACAAACTGGTTGATGCAGCCCTATTACGAGTGTCCTGCGTGGGTGCTGATTGGACAGCGATTTTTGCTTTCGTTTGTGTACTTCAACTGAAAAATAGATTCTTGTTTGTTCAGTGATATATAATACTCTTGTAATCACCATTAAGAATAGTTCGGAAGTGACAGGAAGTTAAGAACATAAATTAAACCAATAATAATTTTTTTTCAATTGTGAAGTACAATTCCCAAAAATTTTAAAATTAAAATATTGAATAATTGTGCAACAGTGCAAGGTAAAGTTCAAATGAAATTTAGTAAATATCCATTTATGGAAATTCCGACGTACTATCAGAGACGGTGGGGGGATGGGGGCAACAAATTATTTTATTTTTTTAATTGAAGTTAAATTTGATATTTATTAAAATAAAATAATAAAAATTAAATTGGTTACAAAAGTAAAAATAAATAAAATAGAAAGACTGAAATTTTCCATTCAACAGTAATTCAAATGGAATATTTCTTTGTCCATTTAATTTATTTTTATCTCATTATTGCAAATTACTACACCACCCTTTTTGTTTATTTCTGTAATCAACATTTTTTTTTTTCATTTTTAAGGCAGGTATATTTCATCAAAATTAAATTGCATAATAATATTAAATTATATGTACCTACTTTATAAAAAATGAGAACTATTTCAGCAGCTTTTGATTTATAATTTCGTTGAACGCAAGGCAGTCGCGGTTTTTTGAAAGTATCAAATTCCCATGCAAGAGCGTGACGATGGAAAAAGCCTGTGCGCAATCAAATCCACCTGAGAGTGCCACTGGTTTTGAGCACCACTCTCGCCGCGTACGTCTTCTATTTCCCTCCATGCCTTATTTTATTATTTCCTCCATCAATCTCTCAGCTCCTTCAAATTCAAATCTATATCCACATCACACATTGTATATCTTCTTTCGTTGGATTTCACGACGTTTTTTCACGCTTGATGTGAGAGATTTAGTTTCTATTTCTCGTTCTTCTCCTGTTCCAGAGCGTATATTGAATTATTCGCACGAGTGTTGCCGCGAGAGCGTAAAAAGGAAACTCGAGACGCAGCCGCTGCCATTGTCGGTCGGTTGGTTAGCGAATTTCGTTTCGCCTCCTGGAGAAGTGTGGTGAGTACAAAATTCCAACCTGCTTGAATTTATTGCAAATTAGTTTTGTGTATATGAGTGTATATAAATAATGCTGAGCTGCGATTGTAAATCAAATTTATAGGGTTTTCAAGGTGTGTACATTTGTTTTTGGGTTAACTATACACCGCAGTAACAGATTTATGGGACATTTATATGGATCTGTTTAATTTTGAATTAATATTTCTAGCGTCAAACTACCTTAAAACAAGGACAAGGAGTTTATTATAGAATTTATTTAAAATTTCAAGTCCAAATCTCATTTAAAAGTTACAAAATGATTAAAAATTATTTTATTCTTAACGTTGACTGGATATTTTTTCAGTTTGAATTTTTGGTCATATCTTTGAAAATCAGAACTATTTTGTTACGAGTGCATTATTCCCTCGCTCTTTAGATTGCAACATTATATGTTTTTAGGATCCTTAATTCATTTAAATACTTCAACTGTACTGAAAGTCTTCTGTAATTATTTGATTTTATTCAATTAATTTTTTTTTTAAATTCGAAAATAATTCACTATAGAAATACCGAGAAATACTACAAAAACAAAAAATATTTTGAACGTGCTTACTACCTGCTGTAAGGTAGCAAGAAAATTGCTTTCATGCTTCCTCCGATTTTGCACACCAAGCTGGAGCGGCGATAAACCTTCTTGTGTGTTAGCAGTTGGGATTTGGCAGCAGGCGGGCGGACCGCGCCCTCTATAAAGCAAACGTAATCGCGCCCGCTCACCGCGCGAGAGCTGTTAATTACGGCGGCGCGGCAGCTATTTGAATAAGGCCCCGATTTATTTGATTAGATTAATACTCAGTAAACCCCGTGGAGATTTTGTTCCACACCGCGTAGATTAATAAAGATATAAATTGTTTTTATTAAAACGCGCGTCGCGAAAATAATTAGATTTCGCACTGTCTATGATTTACAACAATGCCAAGCGGATGGCGCACTTTTGAGTTGGCAAACATAAATTGCTGCGTCAAACCCGCCAGAAGTTAATTTACCCTTGAGCGATTTCCAGTCGGATTTTCGCTCTTCCGCTGATATCAAAAGTGCTCCTGTCCCGTCTGCCTTGTTTTCCCGTCGGCTTTTAGTGCAAAATTTTCCCATCACAGAGGCAAACAGCCAGCGAATGAGTGAATTATGGGTGGCGTGGGTGCGTTTCCATTATCAAAACTGGGCAGCGCGCTATCGACAAAGCAAACAGCTCCATTACAGCCGTTGCTGGAAAACATGACGGTCAATTATTTTGCTTTGATTGGCACCTCCGCTTGCACTTTTTGCGACTCACGTGCAAAGAACAAAGGGAAATAAAGTGAAGGTGCAAAAAACAGGTTGATGGCAAGTTTATTGGCAAATGGGAAAGGGGAAGTGCTAAATTGAATGAAAACGACCACTTAGAAGAATTTTTAGAATTTCGTTAAAAGTTAATTTTTGTTTTCATTTTAATTTCTACGGCGTGAGAAAATTTTTATGGATAGAATTTAGAATTTCGAAAGGAGAAGCAACGCAAAAGAGGCTTTAAAAATTCAATCGGCTTTCTCAATTTTCTATAAATAATCTGGCTAGTAATATTTTAAAATGAAATTGTATGTTTAAATTCCATAATAAAAGCACGGCATGAAATTTTGTAAAAAAAATCTGAAAAAAGGCTTAAAATTAGGATTGTTATAATCAAATCAACTCTTAAATATCAGCAGTTTCTTTTCCTTTTGGTGACAACCTTTATTGTAATGTGTCTATGTAAGTGGCTAATTGTAGTAGAAAATATTAATTAGAAATATGTATTGTAAGGATTATCAAGGAGGTATTTTAAATTTTGATTTAATATTAAATTAATTTGTAATTTGCAATCACATGCATTTTTCTTGTCAGTCTTTAAAACAGACCGAGCTCATTAGGCCTAGAAGATGGCTCAACTGCAAGAATGTGTATCACTTCCCTTGATTTATCGGAGTTCCGAATTCGCCTCCCTGCCGCAATCAATCATAGAGCGCTCAAAACCATGAGGAGCAGCGCGACGGGAATTCCTTTGTGCTCTTCTGCTGGTCATCGCTTTCTTTCCTTTCGTTATAGTGAGCCAATTTTATTATGTGCCTGCCCGCGTAGTTATCGATCATCTTAACGCAGGACGAAGAATTAAAAAGTGGATTTTCATTTCGGGCGATCCACGCAGGCGATAATGTGTGTCTGCCTCTTTTCACTCCTACATGCATGCAAAGAAGTCGGCGTATCTTTTTTTGCAATTTTCTTGCTCTGTTCATCTCCGTAAAACCAACATGCTCTTTTCACGCCATGACAGAAAACATTCTAAGTACTTTTGTACACTAAATAATTTACAAATTTGCATGCTGTGTATAAAAAAAATATGGAAATGTTGATCAGCTTTTCAAACATTTAAGGCAATTTTTTATGTATAAAAAATTATTATTATGTAACATTATTTTTAGCGAGAAAATGAAGCAGTTGCAGGATCACGATTCACGCTGCATGATGCTGGTAGACTGATTTATTGAAACGAGTTGTGACAGAGGGATTTCTTAATTAAAATTGACAGCCATAGTCAGCTCCGTTTAATTAAAGCCACGCGCTTGTTATGAACTGAACAAAATTTTCACGCAATATACAAAATTACAAGGTGAGAAAGCACCGCTATGAAAATGAGAGTTTATGACTTTTTTAGATTAATTCAAATTTACACTTTTGGAAGATTAAAAGGCGCTGTTCGAGAGAGAATCAAGAGCGCTTGCTTCAAGCAAACTCGGCTAATAAATCATTAGGCAAATTACACGCTTTGAGCCGTCTGTCTTGTGCTCGCGTAATTTCCTCAGTTGGTATGTGAGATCGGAATCGATTATAGGCTATATCTGATTCGAGAACAATGCACTGAAAGGACTCGATCCTACTTCATGGCGGAGGAAGTGAACACGTTCGTTGGTTATCTCTTGGGTGAAGTGAGACCAGCGCAAAGTTTTGACAGAAACTCGGTCGAATGGTGACTAATTGCCGGAGGGATTATCGAATCCTAATAAATTATAGAGCCACTCCTATTTGATAATCATTCGTGCTCTGAAAACTCTGCAGATGAAAAAATGCAATCAGTCGAGACTAGATGGAACAAATAAAAGTGTGTTGGCACACGGGAGTGGACGTTGTTTCTCTTTTAAGCGACCATCGTGACAATGGCGCACTGCAGTGATTACGCTTTAAAAGCAAGCGAGCGCCTAAAATACGGTGAGTATGAAACTGTGAGAGGAACGTGTTGTGCTGCGTGTGTGTTAATGCGATTATAATGTCATCGTCCAAATAAATTCTGTTCCTCTGGGGGCACCGTGTCCGGGCTCAATTATTTTGAATCTTTCACTGCCATGCATCCTAATTATAACTCAAAGTTAGTTACATTTTGTTACAAAATTTTCCTCTGGGCCTTAATTATCCCCCTTATTACAAAAAAAGATATGTCCGTTGGGCATTTAATAAATAATGATGAAATGAATAAAAAAAATTGTGATTTATGATTTTGCTTGGGTTTATTTGTGTTAACATTTCACAAATCAATTGATTTAAAAGACTACCTTTAGCGAAATAATTAAATATTTAAAAAAAACTTCAGCATTTTATGTTAAAATTGATCTCTTTTTGGTCTCTCGACGGTTATGCAATTTATAGACAAAATTTTAAGGGGACGAATTTGTGGTCTTGTCAGCATAAATTACGCTTGAGCTAGAAGCAGTTTTTTTGCAAACTGCTCTTCTTGGCGTTAATCTGAGCAGCCCAAAGTTGAAGCCGCCTCGAGCCTCGCTGCCAGGGCTGTGCAAAGCCATAATTCATTCATCGCGTATATCGCGCGAGAAATAATTTATTAAGCTGCGACGTCATTATGGCGGCCGGCACACAATTTTTTTTCTACCCAAAAGTTCTGTTGTTGTAGATAGTAGGCGCGATTATGGTAATTCTTCTTTAGCTTTATAGCTCATACCAGAATTTCAGTTTTAAATGCGTTTCACGTTCATATGCTGAATTTGATTTATGACCTCTGTTGAGATTGCGAGTGGCTTTTATGTTAACGATTTGCATCAATCTCATTTGCTATTTTATTGTAGTTGGTCGGTCAAGCGTTTACTGCTGGAGATTCTGACAATGAGTGCAGATCGAATGTCTGAAGGAAAAGGCGCAAGTAGTAAACATCATCAACCTCTGCTCCTATAGTAATCTAATAAACCCAAGCAATCACCCCTTTGCTTTTGGAGAATTGCGTTGTAAAAGAAAAGGTCGCAAATCTCCAGGAGAAACAAAGACGTGACTGAACTTAACGATATCCGGTGATTATTTGCAAAAAAAGGTGTCTATAGCTTTTTACAGAAAGAGAATCTTTTCGTTTTTCCTTAACAAAATTCGCACTCCAAAATTCCAAATGCAATTTTGCTTGCGGTGAGGAAAATTCCATAATTCACATTCCAAAATGAGTTCAATTTCATTGTTCCTGGGGCGCCCATCCCTCACAAATCGCAATACCCAAAATAGCCGCGAGCAAAATAATGCAATCTCGGTTTGTAATATTTGAGTCGACCGCACATTTGGTTTGGTGCACAATTGAATGTCAGAGAGAGAAAGAGAGCCGGCTGCTGCAGGGAAATTATAATTCCCATTCAGGTGCGCCGTCCGTTTGTTGGTGGCCGCCGAAAAAGCAATTTGGCTCGCGTTTGCTTCACATCAGCGGCACGTCATTTGTGGTCGATTCGGAAGCAAAAAAGTCTCACAGAGAAGTGTGATTCCCATAAAGTTCGTCTCGCTTTGATTCCCGACAATTTAATCGCGAGGGGCCAACGGCCATTATTTTTTGTTCAACACCTTTCTTGTTTTAATGCACAGATTATACAGCCTGGTATTATTTCTACATCAAAGAGCGGCAAATTTTACTATTGATTTTAAAATTCTTCTATCGATATTTCTAAATAATTGTTCATTTAAAAGTTATAGCACTTTGACGTATGTTTTATCATTATCAAAAGGCCTATATTTCAGACTTTGTTTTATAATATAAAAAGCTTTTAAATTAACGATGGTCCCATGGGAGTTGAGTTACATTATATTTTTTTTAACAGCAAAATTCTTGCTTTTGAACAAAGAAACTCATTACGACCCTTCGTGGCAAGGGTTTAATTATGGAATCTGTGTAACTCACTTTCCACGTGAAATTCCACCACCAACATATTTTCCTTTTTTATAACAATGCATTTGGTTTAATTCCCTTTAAGCCAACAGAAACAACCAATATTTTGCAGATTAGAGTAGCGTGTGTGTCCGTTGATAATGCACGCCCCTGACAAATTGCGTTGATGTGAGCGGTACGGAAACGATGACCGCCTCAGATAAACTTGACAAACGAGCCCCTTTTCCAGAGAGCCCATCAATATTGCCCGCGTTTGCTTTAGATAAATTAGTGCGTCGGACAAGCCAAATTAATTAATTGCAAGCAAAAAATACAGCCTACGCTTGCGCCGAAAACATGATATGTGTGCTCCAGGGCAAAAGGTCGTTTAAGAGAGTAATCTATGAAATGATTTTAAACTAAATAATTTATTTCCTCAATTAGAACAATGGTGAGTAACTATCTCCTCGGATTAAATTTTGAATAAAAACCTGAAATTATAATTATGAAAAAAAAAGAATTGCGCATCGGACCGTTTAATGTATTTTCCACAGTGAAAAGGCAAATAACCCAGTCGCTATCAACAAACCCGCTCGGCAGCTGTAAATAATCAACTGAAACGCGGTCGTGTGTGTGTTTCATTTTCTGCCACCATGTTGTTTAAATACATTTTTCGGCATACACAGGCAAAAATGGCAAAAAAAAGAGGCGCTTGATTTGACGCGATGTTAAATGCGTAATTTCCCGATGGAGAGCGGATCCCTTTACGATAAGTGTACATGCGCGCCTTGGTAATGGCCCCGCTTAAAACATATAAAAAAAAAATAGCCGCTCGTAAAAAGCGTCCGTCTGTCTATACTGCCGATACAATGTACGAAAAAGGTCGGGATGCCTTTTCTTATGCGCTCCGTCGGCCGTGCTAATATTTTTTAATGTCTATACCTCTCTGCGGTTTCGCGAGATTCTCTCTTTGCTGAGACGAGCTCACATGCCAGAGTAGCATAGCCCAGATGATAAGGATCTTTATGTCCTTTTCTGAACTAAATTTGTTAGAGGAAAAGCGGTAAAAGATGCCTTATTTCTAATAACTTGGAAGCACCAATTATTTGATATTAGTTTAAATAATCCTCAAGATAGATACAATAAATTTAAACCAGTTAATTTTACGCATTATGTGACACTTCAAGGCTAAATCGTATTTAAATAAATAAAATAATCTAACTTTGACTAAAATATTTTTCTAGAAATTTCATTTTTTTAATTTGTGGCAAATAAACTATCAGAAAAAAACATTTTCGTTTCCTGGCTGTTCCTGAAATTAAATATGGATTTTAACTATTGTGAAAAATTATTTAAATTTTGTCTTCACTGAAGTTTGCGTTGAAATGTTTATGGCCAATATCTTGAAGCATGTTCATACTGAAAGCACTTAACGTTGCTTTTATCACAGCGCGTCGTCGTCGTTTAAAATTCCAATAAAATATAATGCGTACCTGCCCAACGGTCAGCTAAATGCGGCAATCATTGTTTTTCCCATGCCGCACAATCAATTCGTCACCTTTGGCAGGTTGACGTTTATTTCTCGCGCGGCCGCGAATGCTAATTATTTCGCAATCCAGTTCCGATCAAACATGGCCGACGCCAGTGATTAATGCACGCGAATTGCGCAACCAGCTTTTTACTAAAACCACCCTTTTGCATTTAACATTTCCATTTTATCTTTCCGTCGGCATTTTTGATGTTAAAAGCAAATTTCGCAATTCATATCTGAAAAGATTTTATATTATTTTTAATTTCAGTAATAAATAATCCCAGCGAGACTAATTGATGAATAATTTTAAAGTTTTTTTTGGTTTTTTCCTCGAATTTTTAACCACCACAAGTAACCGATTGAGTAGAAATTTATTGCTGAAATTCGGTAATTGCTTTCAGACCCAATCAAAATTTTGGCGAGAGCCGCTTCTCATTAACGATCAAATTTATCGCCTCAGCCTCCATTTTAGGCAGGGATTTTTCAATTTTAAGCCGTTGAGCCGCAAAAATATTTGACGGACGCCACCTGAGCGAATGCCCGCACGAACCACTGCTTTTTAATGCGCAGCCGACGACATTTGTTGTCATTAGCGTCACTATGAGATTGCATGACGTAATGTTGCTGAAATTTCCTCTCTTTACGCTGGAGCGCAAGCCTCCAAATGAAACGACCTTACCGGCAGCAAGCTCAATATTTTTCAATTTTCTTCATTTCGCTTCTCGTGGGCATTACATTATTTTTACATTATGATTTACGACCATTTTCTTTTGCCGGGTTACTGCTTTCAGTTAAAGAGAAGTCGGCTGTAAATCAAAATATCAATTTGATTCGATCCTGCCTGAACTATAAATTATTTCGTTTTTCAAAGGCGGCTTGCAGTCTTTTACTTTCTTTTTATTAAAATGTGTGATGCTCTCTCGCTGAAAATGCGAACATAAACCATTCAAATAATGCAAACAAACATACGAGTTTCTTGGAAGTGAGGCGAAATGCATTATTCACGCTTGTCATGCGATGCACTTTGGTTATTAACATTCTTCGGCGTAGGGGCGTTTTTACTTCTTTACATTGCTGCAATCTGTTTTAATTATCTCTGCACTCAAGACTATGGAGTGCAAAAAATTATGGGCAGTGCCTGATCAAGCATGCAACTAAGTACATAAAACTTGCTGTTAATCTGGCGTAATCATGCATTCATTTATTCATTAATTAAAACTTTTATTGGTGATTTATTAGCTGTAGACTATTTATTATAATTTAATTTTGTATCTACTATGTCTGCGAAAAATAAATTATGCATAATCAATCGTAAATGCTAACTGAAGCTTGCAAATTTCAATTATTATTATAATTTTATTTGAGTTAATTTGTTAAATAAAATTTATACAATCAGCATTCATATTTTATTCTGTCAACAATGGATATTTTATCAATTTTGCACAAACTCGCACAGAAGTGCTGTGCTGGACGAATTATCACAAGGCTCGTCAAACCAGCCCCCAAAATAAGGCCAGAAATAGATGCAAATCGTGTTTTTGTTGTGATCCTCAGTGGGTTCCAGAAGTCCCCAATGGAACTGTGAAATCTGAGCACCACTCGGCTCCCAAATCCACTTCTTCGCGTTCTCCGGGCGCACGGCGCCAGTCCAGAACACTTGCGAATGGTAGCCTTGGCGATAAAACCAACGCGATTAAATCACACTCATCTCGAGTGTTAGGATGTCAAATTCCCTCACCTTGGAACACTGTCCAATTGAGGACGGCGTCGTACTTTCCAGGTTTGTCGAAAGTGAGAAGGGTCATGTTGCGTTGGTTGCAAGCGGCCATCGACTCGTCCCTTGTCAGATAAGCGTACTCCGCGTAGAATTGCTCGCCGCCTATTGTGACAAATTCGCTAACCACAACCGGAATCTGTTCATTTACTTCTAATTAAAAACATGTTTGCAATTTTTTTAGTCAGATTACCGCCAAAAAGGCCAGGGCCGCGATCACAAGTTTAGTCTCCATCGTGTCTCTGAAACTGATAAATAATATTTTACCCTCTATTTATTAAGTTTTTATCTCACTATTTTATCTGATGGTGTGATCTGCAAATCACTTTCTTTGAAATTTTTGTTTTCAGCTCTTGAGATGTGATATTACTTGGCAATAATGACAATTAGAGACTGATAATGGCAGTCGGAAATCAAAATAGACTGTGCAAGTCATGTCTTTTAAAGTTTTTACAGAAAAAATTATATTTTTTTAAATATCCTCATGACAATGATCAGAATGATATTTGCAACTAAATAACAGCAGGACGATATAAATTGACATAAAATATTAAATTACATTGCTGATTTTGATTAAGGATATTTATTTTCAAATATTCTTTTTTAATTAATAAAGAAGAAGTACGAAAAATGTGCATAACTTGTTTACTAACAGAGGAAATGATGAACAAAAGAAGAAGAAAAATAATTTCTTCTTCTTTATTTTTATAAATGGCAATATTGGTAAAAAATATGCACCAAATACATTAGATATTTTAATTTCAAAGGCTTTTTTGTTACAACTTTTATTGCAAAAACTTATTATTTTGGTGGTCCTTTGGTTTCTTCTGAGAGCTCTCACCCCTTCACGAATGAGCAATAATTTACTCGAGCGTCACCATAAAATGTGTGCGTGCGTTTATTATTCTATTACTGCTGGGCGCGAGCGCTCCATAAAAGAAAATCCTTTGAGAGATACGTGTGCGTGGCTCGATGAGTCTCACTCGGTTTAACCTCTCTGCATGCCGCGGCTAATGATAAATTTATTTAATGATCACAAAGTTGGAATCTCATAAAATAATGAAACGACGCCGACCGAAGTCGCGAACGTCGTTTTTCTCTTTTCCAAGCTGCTTTATTTCTATCCTGTTCCCGGTTTTATTTATTCGGAATGATGCGAGTTCGTGTTTAGCCTTTCAAACACAAACCTGGCCAGCATAAATACAGGGCCGGTGTAGCGTGTAATCAAGATGTAGTCTCTCTACTCTCTGTGCAACGCTGCAATTGTGTGTGCATGTGCGTGTAATGACAAAGTAACACGCAAGATTCGAAATTTTCCTCTCTCGCGACAGCAAATTTATCTCCGAAGGCTTTATTTGGTTGTTCACGCTTCCAAAGCCGATTGTCCACTCCACCCTTGTTCCACCATCCGTTAAATGCAAAAACCATGAAATTTGCAATTTCTCGTCGCTTATGATGCGCATGAGTTGGAATTCCTCTTTAATTATGACCGGAAAAAATACCTTTTGCCCATAAAAATTGACTATTTATAAATTTATATACCATTTGAATTGCTTGCATACTTTTGAAAACGTCTCTTCAGAGGTTGTTTGCTTTGCCCTTTCAGATTTATTGGAATTTGCCTGCCTGTGAGAGAGCGATGTACTTATAAATATTTTATTGACAGTTTAATTGGAGTCGTGCAATTAAGTCAGGAAAAACGAAACAATCACCATATTTCCATCTGAATATCAAATATTTGAAACATTTTTTATTTTGAATTAATAATCAAATAATTTGACTGATGAAGTTAGCTCTTCATTTCGAGTGGAAACGTTGAAAAATTGTTTAATTTTGTTTTAAAAAAATGAGCAGATTTTTTTTTAAATAAAATAAAGTAAGGAATAAGCCAGTTTATCACTCCAATTCAAGTGTTATATCCTCTGCAATTAATCGAATTGCCGTGAATTAATATATGAAATGTATAGGTTATGTATGGTGGTCGTACTTAATGATTGGAAATTATATTTTAGATGTTTTGATGATTTTGTAAAATAATTATAAATCAATATCTTCTTGGTATATTTGGTCCTCGTGTACTGTAATTATAACAATGATATGTTTTGGGTAATAGTCGGTTCTCTAAATCTCTGCCCTGTCATTATGGTACATTAGCCTTTAAATATTACACCGCTCTTTTTCAATGAAGCCATAAAATTACGCAAAAGCAGCAATTTGCACGCACTGTCGTTTAGAAATTTGCACCTATTTGCAACTTGTTTTTACTAACCCCGAGGCCTTAAAATATTTTTTAAGCTAAGGACTATTTTTTTAATATAAATAACTTTGAAAGTTCTGGAAGCAGAATTTTCTTGTTAATAAATAAAAAGCATTTTTTATTTGTTATGCTATTTAAAATTGATGGATTTGAGATTGTAAAAAAATCATATTTCATATTTTCTACCAATTAGAATGAATTAAATTTTAATAAAAATCTGCTTGCTATTTAGTACACAAGATTTTGTGCTCAAATGTAAATATCAGCTGCACAAAAATAAATAAAACCTGCTCCCATCAAAAGGTGAGTGTAAATGTATAATCTTTTTTTAGCCGGTGCCATAATTTATTATTATTACATTACCGTTGTCGACATTTATCAGGGAGCGTTTATAAATCGGTATGTACACGTACATTACGCATCACCGTCGGTGCTCTTCTGCCGGGTGGTGAATGTCAGGCATCGATTTCGCATTAGGCAGGTCACACGCTCTGGCATACCAAGTGACACAAACCGGCGAGTGCTCACGTGGGAGAGAGTGTGTGTAATATCAATCAAACGAGAGAGAGAGAAGAGGTAATTTCGCGTGCGTATCGAGCGATTAATCATGTGTCCAATTTATTTCGTGAGGAGTTTCATCACCCGCCTGCTGGTGTTGTTGGTAGGCAGCTTGCTTTGTTCTCGCGCGCCGGACTTAATTTATTGCTTTATCAAAATTAATCATAAGCAGAGGGGTCTGGATGTATTCGGAGATGTTTACATTTCTCCCATGCAATCCTTACATTAAAAAAATTATTAGAGAGAGAAAACGATTTCTTATTATCCACTTGCCTTTTTCATAATGATTGTTTTACCAAGTTTCAGAGATTTCATTCTGAAAAAAAAATTATTTTCCTTCCTGATTGATTGTGAAAGAAATCGTAAAATCAAGCTTGAGTAGGCGTTTAAAGTCAAAAAAGTTATTTCTATACATGCGAGTAAAGGGAGGCGAAGTTTTATAAAGAAGGATTTCCGTTTCACGGCAGGCGGACATGGAATTAAAGGACCGTTTGAATATAGAGTTGCAAGAGAGAAACTTAATTTCACCGCGCTCGACGCAGGAGAAAATTCTTAGAAGATCATAATTTGAATAGGCATGTCTAAAAATCAAATGTTAAATATTTGTTTAAATCGAGCAAACTATAAGAATTTTAACTTAAAATATTTATATTCTATGAACATGGTCATAGATTTGGCAATTCATATAGCTAGAATTAAAAATTAATAAAGACTAAAAAAATTCATCTGCGTCACTTCGCTATTCAAATATGGGAAGAATTTTTTGCTCTACACATTGCTTTTCACAGTCGACCGGTCAAAAGAGGAATTAATTGCTCGATTGTCCGGCAGTTTCAATCAAAAAGCGATGCATTCGAATATCCATTGATCAGTTAGGGCGAGACCAAACACACACACGTCGCCTCAAACTGTGCGTGAAATTGGCTTCCTCTGATCGCATTTGTTAATTTATTCCCCCAACGAGAGGGAAGCCGACGGGCGGCCAATGTTGATGCTGCGTCATCACTTCTCTATAATAATTTATGTGCTTTAATTTTTTTTTCATGCAACAACACAATTGGACCAGTTCTCACATTTTGTCGTTGAAAATTTTAAATTTTACATAATACCATACAGTGATTGTGGAAGGAATATAATTTAACTTATTTTTTGCATGCTATAAAAACTATGTATTTTATTTCTTAAAAAAAATTTAAAATTTATCTGTCTTAATTTATGAAAGCAATACTTATAATTTAAGAACTGAATGTATGAATAATTATTAACTGCTCTTACCTCATGCTAATTTTCTTAAAACATTTCCCGTGATCTTGTGCTGAAAAATTGCACACCTCCTTGAGCTTGTTCTTTTATTTTCACCGCCAGTTCACAGCATTCGCGTGCTATTACAAGCGGAGAGCTTTTTCATCCTGTCAGGCAATTCATACAAGCAACAATTTGCATTCGATGGCCATTTCTCTGCGCTCTGCAAAAAGCTACAAAACCGGCAAGGCCTAACTCAATTGCACCGGGACAAGAAAAATAAGCTCAACGACAGCAGGGGGTCGACAAGCGAGAATGGAGCAACCTTTCCCAGACTGCAATTCTTCTTTTCTTGTGTGTGTCGAGCTGGCAAACGTCTTCACTTTTTAAGGAGCGCGCTTTGCCATTGTAAAAAAGACATCAAAGAAGAAGACGTGCAGTTCGAGATTTGAAATTTCTCGGAAGAGCAGAAGTTCACAGCATTTGCAACATAAATGCTCAAAAATTCGGAGCTTTTTAATTAAATTATTGTTTTATTTATCTCTTTATCAATTTATTGCATCCTCGATTAATTTCATTATGTTGCATGGAATTGATAAAAAGAAAATTTACGATTGAACACAAATTTGGAAAACCAAATAACTGTGGTACTATTGCAGGGCTAATTTATGATGAATGTAATCTCTCTCGAGCGCGTGCTGGATTTGCACAAATTTGATTTTGCCGCACTGATACGGCATCCCACGCTGAATGCAATTTGTAGTGAAATTAATGCAAATTCCCCTCTGGTATTTGATTCTAAATCCAACTCTGCTGAGAACGTTTCGATTGCAATTCCACCAAATTGGGTTTGCCAAAATTTATATTAAATTAGTAAACCCCTGTTTAAGCGTCAAGCCCAATTACGCCAGCACTTCGGACCAATTATGGACCATTAATTCCAAAGTTTATGTGCGCGGAGGCAAAAGAGGCAAATTACACACCTTGAACGAGCCTGGTCATTCTCTCATACATAATGCATGATCGATTAAAAATTTCCCCAGGTGTCAAAATAATGCGAGCAAAGACTTTTCAAATAAAAAAATCTTTATAAGACTATGATAATAACTTAGTTAAGCCAGTGAGAAGTGAAAAAGCTTTAAACTTTGCAATTACAAAAATCCGTTTCAGTCTTTAAAAATTAAATATATTAATGAAAAATTTTTTTCTGTATTTTTTTAACTAGATTTTATTTATGAAATAATCAAAATTCATTTTTATTTAATATGATTTAAACGTTTGAACTCCGTACTTTTATGCTGAAACATATATCTTTCATTGCAATTAGTGTAATCAATTTTTTTTTTCAACATCTAGATTTGTGGATGTTGCAAATACCCAATTTTTATTGTTTTGGCTCAAAGGCTCTGATCTAATTACGAGCAAACAAAAAGTATTGCACCTCTCACTCATGCTCTTTACGACTCTTGCCGTCTTGCCTCGCACAGAGAGTGTTATTACCCTTCTCTCTTCCATCATGAATTTTATATCACTTTACGTCTTCTCTGCGTGTGCATTGTTGCGGAATTTTTATGTGGCCATTCTTCGTCGGCCGTAAATTTTCCAATGCAATTTCATCTCGCAGGAGATACAGAATGGCCCATTAAGTAGGGCTACATTATGTGATTTAATCAATTCGAAAAAGTCTTCGCGGTTGCCACGCACGCATTAAAAATATATGTACATATTCAGCAACCAATAATAAGTTTTTGGTCGGAAAATATATAGGCCACTTGGGCATAAATCTGATACTGCTTATGTGTATCGATTTATTCCCAAGGAAGTTGCGGAAATTGACAACTTTTATCGCCGTGTTTACGGAAATGAAGAGACTTATCAGAAAATCCTATTTATTATTCCGATAGCCTTTTTAGCTTAAGGGATTTTCTCTGCGAAATTTATATAAAAATAAGATGCAACGTTTCGAGGTATGAGAGGGAGTTTTAAAGTAAAAACTTAAAATATGGAGACTTGCTGAAAGCGGCCATTTTTGCAAGCAGCTGCCGGGAGGGCGCAAATAAAGCCGGGCAATTAATTCCGCTGGCGCACAAAATGCGCATTTCATAAGACGCAGAGAATAATTTGCGCCCCCCTCGGTTAGTTATGATCACCTGCCAACACCACCCGAGAGGCGCCGGAAAAATGGCTGCGCGGGTGCGAACACAAGCCCAATTTCCACCTCATTATTTTTAAACGAAAGCAAAAAGGAAGAGTTGTCGTTGTCACGTCTATGAAAAAGGAAACAAGTCTTTTTAAAGCCAAAAATTAGAAAAAAAAAAAAAAAAAAAAAAATGCCCAGGAATCAAATAATTTTTTTCCACAACTTTTGCTTACCCCAAAAGCTATTGAACAGAATCAAATTTTTGATAAATACAACCTATGGAAAAACGCGTTGTCTAATGAGTCAAGAAAAAGAATGTATAAGGCAAAATATAATTTTTTGGCGTTACTTCTGTTCTTCTGTTTACTTTTTTAAATAGAAAATAAAAATTTTAAAATTTTTAGCAAATTAATTGAAACAAAGCAATGGTTCCATGTCACATCATTCTGTATTATATACCCACAAAACATTTGTCTGATATACTGTTATAAAAGAGACAGAATTTGGAATTGATAAAAATTGATAAACAAGCCAAGCATTTTTTATCCAAGCTTTTTTACACTCGGAGAAAGAGAGACGCATAAAATATATGTCAATAAGTTACAGCAACTTATTCATAGCTCTGTAATTGTATGTACGCTTCATTGCATAAGTGGTAATTGCTATTACAGAGTGTCCGGTGAGCCAGGGGAAGGCGTAGAGTGGGAGGCGCGCACACCTGTGCATACTACAAACCTGCCGCACGCAGCGCCGCTCGCGAGAGGATTCCTGTGTTGCTGCTGTGCCGCCGCTCTTCCCAAAAAGCAGCGCAGACAAGCAAGTCCGTCAGACTGGCAGCCAAGTCAGTCCGTGTGCGCGCGGCCTTGGGAGCAGTCGCAGTCGGCGAGTTCGTTAATCCCCAGGCGAAAAGTGCGTGAATGTTCTGGCTGGCGGAAAACGGGCAGGATTTTTGCACAAACGAAACTTCGGCACCAAAAAAGGTAAAAAAAAAAAAAACACATACAGTACGACATGTAGGAAGAGGAAATAGTTTGCCTTGAAATGTCTGTCCTGACACACCGAAAGCCTGTCTGAAAAAGAGTCAAAAGGATAACATTTTCCAAAAATTTTTATTAATACCTTCACTTTGATACATGCATAAATTAATTTTATTTTAATAGAGCTGATGCTTTACAAATAACTTATTACAATTTTTAATCTCAAATTATTAATAATATTACATGAAAAACTTCTTAATACTACGGCGAAACATTATTTAAGATGTTAGATGATTTTTAATTAATAATCTATCTCTGATCTATGATAATAACTCATTCTTATTTAATTTATTTTTAATGCGTTTGATTATTCATCCACATTGATCGATTATTTGAAATATAACCATCTCAAATATATTTATAGTTAATAGTAATTAATATTTTCTTAATTTTTTTATTACAATAATTGTGCTTAATACTGACCATCATCTGCTAATTCCTCCTTACTTTGCAAAGTTGAAAAGCAATATTCGATATTCATAATTTAACCTTTCCCTCAATTTTCTGATGGAAACACAAATTCCATATATAAACAGTATTTTCCTTTTGATGGAACAATTTTAGTTAATTATATCATAATTACAGTCTCCTTCGTTTTCTGTTTGTGCAAAACATCATAATTTTCCCATGCCTTCAAAGAGCTTGTGATTTTTTTCTTCTTCTTCTTCTTCGCTGCGGGAGTGGTTTGGCGCGCACGCAATTCACTCCTCCCGGGTCGGCCTGACATGTCCATCAAATTTCATTTCACGGGGCGATTGGTTTCGAGGGCGAAAGAAATTTGATCTTTATAAAATAATCAGCTTCCACATGTGTGTGCCGCTCCTTGTCCCCTGGCACCGGCAGTCCACATGCATGTAATGAACTGTATTGGAAAGAAAGAAGGGTCTTTGTGAGCACACCGGCCGATCCTCAAAGGGTATAATAATAAGAAAATTCCCTCCTTTCTGGGCTAAATTTCTTTCTCCGAACACTTCCCGTCTCCTTTTCGCATCCCTTTTGTTTACTTTCTTTTTGAGGAGTGAGACAGAGATTCATTCCCTCTCTTTCATTTCAGTAAGGAGGTGGCGAATCTAGAGAGATACGAACGCTTTGCTGATGAAAATTGGCCCGAGCACTCAGACTCCGATTGTAATTTGGACAAGACAAATATTTTCATTTCGGGCCACTTCAAGTGACAGGCACTCCCTCGTAGAGACGTACACTTTTATTAAAAACGCCCCTTCCTTTGGCATTCACGGTCTCGCGGAAAATTGCTCTTTTTGCGGGGATTTGCATTCCAAATGAGCATTCTTAAAGTGAGACCTGTCGAGGAATTCACCGAATTTCACGGAGATTATTAAAATTTTACTATATTGAATCAATCTCGATGTTCTGCTTTCGCCGCAGACAAGAATAAAAGTTTGTTTACAAGACACGGCACGATTTCAATGACGATCGCTCGTTTCGTGCACGTGGAATCCAATTAAGCTGGGCGGCTTGTTTTCCCGAAGAGGAGACTCGGTTTTTCCCTCCGGATCAAGCAGCGGCTCACTATGGTTTCGGGGCTCACTCGACCCGGCCACGGAATCCAAATTACAGGTTTCGGCCGCTGCGTGGCGGTGTAAATGCAGCACGAAAGAGCCTTTTGCTTTAAAACACCGGCTCGTTGTGGGTCCATTATCTCTTGGTAAAATAGATCGGAAACTAAAATGTGTTTGGGTCAAAAGTATAAAATTATTTTACGAAAAAAGCGGCCAAAATTCATTTTTCGATCTATAATAAAATCTATAGATCTAGTGGAGTCGGAAGATTTAGATTTGAATTTCATGTGAGATTTTGAAGGCAGAAAAATATAATTTATATTATCTTGGATCTGTCTTGGATCTTAGCACAAAGATTTTAAAGATAAAATTATACATTTGCTCAAATAAAATCATATTTTGTTTGTTTAAATTATTACATATAAATTTACAGAGCGATTCACATTTTCCAAAAAGAAAAAAAAATTGTGCATTTATTTGTCGTTCAGGTTTGAGATTTTCTTATTCTTCACTCTCCCGATTGGAAAAATTCTTACCGCACGTTCAACAAAATGTACCTGCTGTGCACTTGGTGCAGAAATAAAGCCTGATTGCTGTTCGCTTCACTACTTCTCCATTTCCAAGTCTCTATACATTTTATCCCTGCCGGGATCGAACAAGTGAGACACATAAAGAACATCCATTTCCCGCTCGCCTCTGCCCCATTTGAATATTTCCATCCTCTTGCTCTCGGCTTCACTTGATATAAAATTTTGCGAGAGTACAAAGAAAGAAATTCCGCAGTAGCTCCGAACACATTTTCCCTTAGGAGGAAAAATTATGTTAATTTTACACGCGGCGGCGCGCCGAAGAAAACTTTTATTGGCGTGAGAAAACTTTTTTCTGACACCGTTCGGAATATTTTTATTTAAGGAGCCTCGGGGCGTTTTTATTGCACCACTTTTGTGTGTGTTCTCGGAGAAAGAGAAGAATCTGGCTCCATAAAAAGGTTCATTCCGAGGCGCGCAATGCCCATTATTAGTCATAACGACATTATTTGGCGAACACGGATTCATTTTCATAATGATACTTGCAGGCCATTTGGCAAAACTAATGTGCATTCTGAGCACTTAATTCTCTTTCCTCCCGCAGCAATGAGACTTATTTGCAAAAAGTGTGCCTTTTAAGTGCACGCCACAATTCGCAGAAGTAGTTTCCTCTTTGCTGCGGTTTTAACTGCAAACAGGGTTGAACCCGATCCAAAAATTTACACATTCCTTCCTTAAAGCACATATTAATTCTTAGTGGTGAAGTGTCTGAAAAAAATGAATAACTAAAGCTGCAGTGTCTTAAAATATTTAAAAAAAAAAAATTTCTTAGGTATTTTATATTACAAAACTGAAAATACAGTAATAGATATCGCTGATTAAATATTGGAGAGATCGAAATAGCTAAAGTTGTCAATGATGTAATTTCAATGATGTGGAAATTGGAAATAAATAAATAATGTACTCATTATTTTCCTCCAATTACGTTACGTGGGGTTATAACAGGATTTATAAAAAATGTGTCGCTCTCTCGTCGACTAATTATCTTGCCGCTTATGAAATATTGAAATGCTAACAAATGAATCCCTACCAAAAGTGTGTTTAATTAACAGACTATGCTTTCGAGCTAAATTAATTTCATCTGCTGCTGCTCCGAACACAATAACAAACAAAACAACGGCATAATGAGATTTGCGTTTGCCTCGCGGAGAGAGATCAGTTAATAGTTTTCCAGCTCCATTCCGAGCACGTTTCATTCCTTCTGTTGTTAACTGAATTTAAAGTTTGCGGTCGTCTGGTGGATTTCCACGATATCTTGGGTTATTGCACAGTTGTTGAAATGAATTATTTAATAAATAAAAATAAGTAATTTTTCCTCTCTTATGAAGAAATTAAAAAGCCATCATTAATAGTAGACAACTTAATGCATCGTGCGTGTCTGCAAATCATCATAATTAGACTAGGGTGGTCGAGTGAATGGAGGGGGTGCCGTGAGAAAAGAAATTGCCGCCTCAGGTGGTTTGTTTTCTTCCCTCTTCACAGGATATGTCTCGGCCAATTAATGAATTGACGCGCTGCACCTGCTCCCGACTTAAAGCAGCAAGGGGTTGGTCGGTGAGAAAAATTTTCACTCCCGGCCTTTTTCATTACTCTTATTGATATAAGTTTTGGAATGGTTATTCATGCCGTCTTCACGGCGCAATTCAGTTTTGGTGTTTGCTCAGGAAGCCAATATGCCTGGCTGATGGGCAAAGAAGTATGGAGGGTTTTGTGAGAGCATTCATAGTAAGAAAAGAGATCTGTTTGTTTCCCTGAATCGACAATAACGCTCCAAAAGTAGTCTTCGAAGAAAATGAAATTGTGGAAATTGTAAGATGTATAATATATCATATTTTGCTGAAAGAGCAAAAAATTTGATTCGTTGATTTTTCTTTGTAGATAAGGGACTCTTGAAAACTTATAAATGCTCTCTTTCGTGGAAAATTTTCTCATCTCGAAAATTTTTTAAAGGGAATTTGCTGATAAATTGTGCAAAGATCTTCATTAGGTCGTTTATAACCTCGTGGAATTTTATATGCCGTCAATAAAAATGATTGCTGGGTAATTATCGCAATTTGCTCTGAGAAACGCAAGCCGCTTTGTAGTTTGTATCGCTCCCAAGTTGCGTTGTATTATAATTAAAATTGTTTACATCCCACGAAGGCACACAAATTTTGTGATCAAATAACTCACTTAAGCAGAAACGAGACGACAAGCCTGGATTTTTAAGACAAACGCTTCCGAACGTCTGCCGGAGGGATTTTGAGCGAATCCCAAGAGCAAACATGAGACGAAATCCGTTTCGCGGAATCGCAGAGCAGGTGCCTCGCTCGGAGAAATGACTGTGCGCGAGGGCAAATATTTATGGCAGGGGTTGGAAGGTCACAAGTCGGCCCCCAGAATACTGTTGAAAGATTTATGTGCGAGATGACGATGGAGGCACCCGCGCCCAGCTCATTCACTCTCTCGCGCGAAAGGCCACAAAAGGGCGCTAAAAGGAGCCAGAGATGCGTCCCAGATAAAAGTATGCGGTCTGCGAGCGTGCGATGCAGAAAAATGAAATATGCGCCTCCACTGCACGATTTATCGCCGCGGAAATTTGTTTTATGCGAAAATCTGTGCCTACGCTGAGTAGCCGGCCAAATGGAAAATGTGAGAATTTTTCAGAATATTCCATCGGATGGACTGTGGGCTTTTCTTTCGGAAAAATAAACGAGCTTTAGGAGAATGGAGTTTTTAATAATTATCTATTTTATTTCCACAGGAAAGAAGTCAGGAGGGGTTTTATTGACAATTTTTCTAATGTGCCGCATGTTAGTTACAAATAAAAAATATTTGAACCTTTTCTCGTCAGGTT